GGAGATGAAAGGGGGGAAATGAGAGGGGATTGTAACAAGAATGAGGGCTCGATTCTAGAAATCCATGGAGAAATTTTGTGTTTCTTCTCCTCTCTATTTCTTTCTCGTTTTTCGTCGGGAGAAGCGTAGGTACAACGCGTGGCTTGCTTCGATGTGGGCTGGGCTGATTTGAGCTCGGCCCATATTTATCGTCTATAAAGCCGAAGTGCTTGGGCCTCCGAAGTCTGTCCACATATTGCTCAATTTTTAAAAATAAAAAACAAATTACGATTTTGCAAAAAGATAAAAGAAAAAACTCTCATGACAATAAATTATTTGTTTTAAATGGATAGAAAATGGAGGGAGTAGAGTGTACTTTTGCTACTTCGAATCGGTATAAACTGTTCATTTCTTAGAATAATCTACTTCTAAAATTCCCGAAATGCTACTACTTCTACTATTTTCCGAAAAATTATATATTTTTTTTCTAAAAATATATTTTTGAAAAAAATTTAAATACTGGTATGATGCCTACATGAAATCTTATTTCTTAAAAGTTTTTCTGCACCTTGAGTTTGTAGAAGTAGCTGAAATGTGTGTGTATTCAAAAAAAAAAACAGTTGTTTGTTAACTCCTCCCTTTGTACTTTTAAAATCCCAAAAAACCCTCGTCACAAAATAGATATCTCAATGAAAAAACAAATGAATTGAACGAAATAATATTTTCTTTAATTTTCAGAAACTTGTGAAGAAGAATAATATAGCATCTAGTGGTGTCACAAGACATCGCTTAATGTGTATTGTTATTTGTATTTACTATCGAGTTAAGCTTAATACTATCTAACAAGTAGATACTACCAACCCAATTTTGAACATCAGAACCCAAAATAAAAATCCAAATAGGTGATGTGGTCTACTACACATAAGCTATCCATAAAAAAAAGATTAAAAATTTTCAACATTATTAACCCATGCATAATATATCGTCAAAACAAATGTTTCCGATTTTTCACAAAGTTGCTTAAGTTTTCATCTCTTGATGTGATTCAAAACATATTGAAATCATTTGAATTTTTGTGTATCAATAGCTCATGTATAGTAGATCACATGCGCCAATTTAGGGTCCCAAATTTAAAATTTGGTTGATTTGTATCCTCATATTGATACTATTAATATTAACTTAGTCCAACTCTACACTCTAAGACCCTATTGAAATTAGGACAGGACACTGCTATTGGACATGGGGATATCACCAAGTTAAATTTTCTAGATTTGTTACTAGGTTGTATGTTGCGTATTGATGTTTAAAAAAGGAGAAGTCCAAGGTGAAGAGTTAAACCTTTTACTGACAAGGCGTGACTTTCTAAGAGTGAAATGTAAGCATCATGAGTTTAAGTATTTTAATTTTAAAATCTATAAATGTTATGAACATACAGTATATAATGGTTATGATATTTACAACTAGATACACTCGTATCCTGATTAGTAAAGAAACACTAAGTATGTAAAGTGTAGATACAAATCACAAGACACTAAGATGCATGTGTGACATATATATGTTATTACACTCACGTGGTCATATTAAAGATACATAAGGAAAATTTAATGTTAATTAAAACTTCTTTTATACCCTCCTATCTTGGCTAAAACGCGCACTTTAAAATAGAATCATTTTGTGAAGCCCATACTTCTGTTAGAAATGGGATGCAAGCCTAGAGGGACGGGGGAATATGATTGCTACATTTTTTTTGGCTAAACACAAAAAATACAACAAAAAAATATATATAAAAAAGACAAACCAACACATAAACACACTAGATTTTTATAGTGCTTCAGATAGAAATCTTACATCCACTATTCCTTCTCGTGAAAGGCCTTCCTTACTATGACCAAAGTTTACCTGAATCATACCTTGATTTAGTAGGTTTTAAAGACCACACCCTATATTTTGCCCAAAACCAATCGTCTAGCTTAACTTTTCACAATGACTGGAAGAAACCTAGCTATAGCTAGACCAACCCTTAGTTACTCCAACTTGAGTATGTCATCAAACCTACCCCTAGCTAGCTTAGAGCATCTCCAACAGCTTCTTCAAAATTTTCTCCAAAATGGGGAAGCAAAAGTCATATTCTCCAACTAATTTTTACACCAACTCCAACAGCTTCCCCATTTTGAAGAATTAATTTTCTCCTCTAAAAAATTAGAGAATGCTGCAGATTTGGGGAAGCTTCTCCATTTTTTCTCCTTCATCCCTATTTTGGGGAATGAGATGGAGAATCTGTTGGGCCAAAAACCTAACTAAATTCTCCAAAAGTGAGAAATGGGGAAGCTGTTGGAGATGCTCTTACCCCTCAATTACTCCAGCTTGAGTATGCTGTCAAACCCACAAGTTTGAAATATAATCCCAAAAATAATTATGCACAAATAAATTAATCTTACGGCTCTTTAGCAAATTGTTCTTCAAACCGATGAAGATGAAGATCAGTGAAGAAGCGATATAGAGATGTAAACGTAGGGCACTCCTTCTCACTGAATCAAACTCCGATGAAAAGCGCACCGAGAAGAAGCTAAATGAGACTTAGGGAATTTGATCAACTCTGTGTGAAATCCTAGAATAAATCTCTCTTCTTTTGTGTATTTGCCTCCACGAACTTCGTTGTTAATTATGATCTCAACTTGCCTTAAATAAATATTGATAGGATAGGAAAGAGATACCGAAATCTGAGTGCTAATAGGAGATCGAACGGGTCAACGAATAGATGCGATTTAATCTTAAAAATTACCAAATTCCGTTATAACGATCGATGGTCGATTACGACCATCAATGGTCCCTTGGTGATCATTGATGGTTCATTTTCTAGCTATCAATGATGCATATTCTGATTTATGTATTTATTTTATTATCTCCTATAACAATCGATGGTTCCCCATGACCATCAACGAGATGCTGACCATCCATAGTTGCCTCTTGACCATCGATGATTTGATGGCTGAAATCAACGTTCGTATTGATTTTTGCATCGTTTCGAATGGCATCTTACTCGTACATGTTTATACCTGAAATACATCATCTCATAAAAAATATCAGTAGTAACGAGAGTTTGTTATTACTCAGATAAGAAATATTGTATGAGCAACGTTTTAATAATTTCAACTATGCTTTAAACGATGAGGCGTAAGCTTTAAGGGATAAATAGCTTCTCTCTTGAGTTTTGATTCATTTATCGTTCAAAAAGTTTTGAAGCCAGCTTCAAAAGAGCTTTTTCAGACATTGTTGCATCGTTGCGTGGTGTAATTGATGAAAATTTTGACGTTGAGCTTAATTTCACTTCAAACTCAAAGTTAAACAATCAACGATTATTGTTGGACTACGACAAGAAAATTAATTAATTAGAAGTACGCACATAGATTCACAAACAAGTTAATTTTTTTTTATATAGAACTTTATCAATTTATCCATTGCAAACAATTTCTAAATGGGCACAAGCGAGAAAGGAAACAACGACGGGTTATAAAAGGGAAACAACTTTTCTTTTTGACTAATAAATATCATAACGCTGAATGATTATAGAAAGTCCTCCGAATATTAGAAATCCATCTTAAGTTTACGGGTTATCAACCCCCCTACCCCTAATTTAAGGAGATTTTCTGATAAAACCTGAAGGATAAAAGGAGATTTTGTGACAATCCCAATACTTAAAGGGGGATTTTTTGATATTTTGAAAGCTAAAGGGTGTTTTCCGCCAATTATCCAAAGTTGAGAGGGGCTTTATGATATTTACCCTTTCTTTTCCTCGTTAATATCTCCATCAGTTCCGAGGTTTCACTTTCATGGGCGTCCCCACACCGCCGACAATCGTTGCCTTTCTCTGCTCGCTCTCAGGTATCCAATTCCCCTTTCCTCTATAATATGCATTATAGAAAAAAGGAATAATTTTAGGAATAAAACCCTAATTGAGCATCCAAGAGCCAGCCCTCAGAACCCTGATGGTCTTCAATTAATTTCCAATTTTTGTTCAATTAATTTCCAATTTTTGTGTCAACTCTTGACGATTTGCAGTTTGGATCTCTAATCTGATTACACATAACGAGATTGGTAGCTGAACTTGTTTTATTTTGGAATTTGGCTCTGTTGCTCTTCCTTTTAGCCATTGAAATCGGCGAGGATGGCTTTTGTGAAAGAGTGCAGATAAAAAAGCTGCCCTTTTGGCCAACTTTCTATTTGGACTAGGAGCCATTTAGGTTTCAGAAGAATGCTGACGGATGAATCATTTATTTGAGAAAAAAAAAGTGTTAACTAATTAGTTGTCTTTCTTCTTTCGAGCTGAATTTACAGATACGGCTCTTTTAAAGAGAAATTGAGAAAATTGGCGGAGTTGTTGGTTTCAACTAGCAACTTGTTATTGTTTACTGATGGTCATGACCCTTGCTAGTTAAGGCTCCTTTAGAGTCGGGCATTTTTATATGTCAAAACAATTCAATTCGACGAGCTCTTTAGGATTTGAATCGTGAACATTATCATCCCCTTCGACTACTCTTAACCAATCAAGGTTTGGAACAGTTAAATGCCGGATCTCCCTCCCTGGCAGGCAGGTGTTGGACTGAGCTCCACTTGATGCGCACGATAAAGTGGTAAGAAATAAGTCTTTTAGGTGGTTTGGGAGCTTGTCGTAGGTGTTAGATATATGGAACTAGGTTCTTGGAGCTGCCGTCATATTCTGTGGTCTTTTAGTTTTTACAATATCAGGGTATCCGTGCCCTGGTGAATTGAACTTAATCTAGCAGGGTTACTGTCATCGAATTCATATGGAACCATCAGTCCTAAGCTGCATAAAATCATTAAACTTCAATTAATCTAATCTGAGGTGAGTTTGTAAAGTCTTTCTTCTTAACTTTTCATCTGATTCATTTCCTATGCGGATATTGCTGTTATGATTTTGTTAGAGACATCCTGGGATATATGATATCTCAGGTATTTGTAGACACCTGTCTTTGCTGAAACTTGCTGTGTAGATAACTTTTAGCGCAGCTCCTGTTGACATGATTCTTCAGGAGACAGGGTTGATGCCTTTGAGACTATACCCTCAATAATGCTCAATCAAATGATGTGGGCGCAGACAAGCAGAACAATTACAATAATCAATAAACTATGGAAGTTTGCTGTAGCATGTAGGGGACCTACACTGAACAATGAGCTTAAGCATTTCTGATGATTCCTTCCTAAAGCTCGATCAGATAGAAAACCTTAAAAGAAAGCTTATTTTTGGATCATGCAGAACCACCGAACCTATTCATTGTCCGATGCAAAATATACACTGAATATATTAAAGGTAGTTTTTGACCAGAGGCAGTGAGACATGATTGATTGATGTATGCTAAAGTTTGAAAACAAGCTTTGTTGGCTTGATGATCTATATCCTTAGGTCCTTCTTTCTTGATTCCAAGAAACACACTGCATAAACACAGACAAGCACACACATGAACATGTATATGCATTATATATATAGGCACACTGCATAAACATATGTAGATATACACATTATATATAGTATCATGTAGATATGCAACACTGGGTTTTGATACTCCACACCATCTATGAAATGGATATACATGTTTGAAGATATTCAAAAGTTATTAACTCATCAGTATACCTATGCAATCTGGAATCAGATAATGGTAAGTTCAGATCTTTATTTAACTACATTTCTCGTATTTCTAGTTATAAATCATTTGAATCTTCACAAGAGAGTCAAAAAGACGCTAGGCATTAACTAGTAATTCTTTGGCAACATCATTGCAAAGGAAGTATGAAAATATATTGGTTTAAAATTCCTGCGAAACATGGATATTAGTTGGCTTTTCAGCAGTAATATGGTTATGAGAGATAATGTGGTTAAAGTACACTGGTAAGCAAATGGGATTTTACATGGCTGGTTTGCATCCCCTAACTACGTTAGATACATTGCATCCTATCTTCATACTAACTCGTCTGATGATGACTTTAAGAATATACAACATTCTACTTGCTGACCCCACATCGAGTTGTCGTTCCCACATTCAACGATATGATTCATTGATTCTCCAGAGATTGATGTGATTCTCCTGAGATTGATGTATTTTTTTCTTCTTCCTCGATTATTCTGCTAGCTTTAGTATTCCTTTTCACCTCTCCGTTCAGTTATAATGTGGAAAAGTTCTTCGAGTATGACAACTTAACCTATCAGAAAATTAGCAGGTCAACAAATGTAACTGTGATAGTTTAACACCTGTTCCTCCCAGAGATGTCAGTTTACTGCTTTAGGCGTTATTGGGAAAGCCTCTCTTATTTGATATTCTCGATAAGGGTGTTTGATATTCATTATCGTACTGTGGTCAAGAGATGTTAGAATGTCACATTATATAGGTTTGTGTTTTATATATTTTCTAAGTATTGTTTTTCATAGTTACCCAACTATGTGGCAGTTATCTTGTGTAGGGTTGTTAACAGTGTATGAGAAGGGTTATGCTCAGTTGCTGATTAAATTAAGTAGTGAAACAGTATGGTGTCTACTTCTGATCGTAACTTGAGAACAATTTGAACTGATTGATGGCTGTGGTTGGGTATCAGCACTCATTGTTGTGGCAATGATCAGCTAAGAATTTCGCCTTTTCCCTTTTCTTTCCCTCATCCAAATTTCCTTGTAGGTTCTATCTGGTTGGGGTTCTCTTATTATAAATGAGATAGTGATTGGAAATCATGCAAAATACATCCTATAGCTTTTGCTCCTTTTATCACAGGTTTGGATGGGCCCAAACACTGGAAAGGAAATAATACAGTGAACTATGGGAAAGAGCTACCAAAGAATTGTTTTCTCATCCTAGTGTGCTATGGCTAAGGATTAAAGCACATCTTATGCTTATTCCTATTCTCTTTCCATTTTCCTTTTCCCCTTCATTTCATGCACCTTGTTCCATGCACTTTGAGACTTAAGAGGAAGGCTGGCAGTTTATAAGGACCATCTCCTTTAACGGCTAGATTCTTTTTCCTTTATCTTTAACTGTTTTGTTGTTACTGATGATTGGTTCAGGTATTTATTCCCCTGTTCAAAGTTGTGAGAGATTGCTTGAAGTTGTTTAGGCAAGTAAATCCCCATGGTGTAAGATAACTAAGTGCTCATGTGCCATTTGAAATGATTGTTGTCTGAGTTCCCACTTATAAATAAAGAAAATGGTTAGTACGGGCAAAATCTTAGTTCAAACAGTTTGATGGTTTGATTAACTCTGTGGGCCATGTTGTGTGTCATGACTTAAGGAGCATTTACTGGGTTTTTGGTATTGGCTCTATCTTAAGTCCTTAACATGCATCACATTAGTTGATTTGGCTTTTTGGGAATTGGGATGGATAGATTCTGTTTTCTGATGAGAAGGGGCATAACACAGGAAGGGAATTATTTGCCACTATCGAGAATTGATTTTCAGGAAGTTAACTGCAATTACACAGCTGTACTGCAGGTGTTGCTTAAATTTGGAGCTGGAATCTTTCAGATTAGTCAGATTGATGCAACATCAAACATAATAATTCAATTGTCTTAGAAAAACTAAGGTGTTTAAAGATGTATGCGGAAAGCCTTTAAAAAAATCTTCAAGGGTGTTCGTTGGAATTAGGTCATAGGATTCTTAATCGAGGTGGATTGAATATGATGGATTTCCTCTGTATATTTGTTGTGATAATTTTGTAGGTGGTAAATTTTCAGAAGATTTAATTTATGGATAGAGCAGTCAGAGATATAACGCTGGAATTTCCTTAGCAGAAAACTACTCGTGACATGAAATATGAACCTTACTCTACCATCCCTCAGTGTGATGAAGATAATTGACTGCATATAACTTTTACATAAAAATTCTATTGAGAGAGAAATATGGACTTAGAATCCATGTTTGCTGAAACGTGTTCCCCCTGTCGGCCCATGTGGCTACAGGCTGTTTGCCTGTTATATGTTGTCATTGACTTCTTTTATTAGATTCTTTCTTTACCATAAAGAATGACGAGCTGGGAATTCTGAAAATGTTGGTTGTTAAAGTAAATATAGTATGATTATCCTTTTCTTAAATGGAAATATGAAAATTTTCTTTAAAGAACCTTATGTGGATGTATTCTTTAAAGAAAGTAGGAGTAAGTTTCATCAATTAGTTGCAAGTTTATTACATATCATCCCCCAGCAAGTTTTTAAGATAGCAGGAGTTGGATTTTTACCCGGTACCATCTTGTCTTCTAATTTCAAACCAAACCAACAAGAGGAGACTAAGAAGGAGAAAAGAGGCAAAAGGTTATTAGGAAAAGTTTAGGATGCTTTACTATGTATGCTGATCATTGGGCTATTCTCTCATTATCGCTGCCTTGGACAGTGTGTTTATATCACATGCTTGCATAAGATATTTGAGGTTCGATTCCTGCGTGCACCATATGGTTGGCTGTTGGCATAATCTTAACTCAAAAACTTCCTATGTGTTTGGTTCCATATTAAAGAAATTGAAACAGAGTGAGGGAAAATACATTTTAAAGACTTAAAAGAGCTGTTACTTATATTTTCCCTCATTCTTCAGCTTTATTCGCATCAGCACATTATTAGATAACTACTCATGTTCGTTATCTATTTCTTTCCCCACCTTTTTGTTTTATTCCAATATCATGACCATTTTTTTTGTCTCGTTTCCTTTTACTCGTGCAACCTAAGGGTGTTTTTTAGCCTCAGAGAGAGAGAGAGGGAGGGAGGGAGGGAGGGAGGGCTGGGGGAAGAGAGAGAGAGAGAGAGAGAGAGAGAGAGAGGAGAGAGAGAGAGAAGAGAGAGAGAGAGAGAGAGAGAGAGAGAGAGAGAGAGAGAGAGAATATGCTGTTCAAAGAAAGAGCAGGACACATGGTCGATTAAAAATGATGCTATGGTCCTTTTCTAATTACGAGTTTAGAGATTTATTCGCTGTCCTATTTCTTCTTTTGTCGTTTCTGAATAAAAATATATCCTCAAATATGTGCTGAATTTGTTAGCCATGCATTTCCACTTCTTCCTAAAAGAAAAGACCTGAATATTGGTTGCCGTTGTGACAAAAAAAGGACTCTGCTCTGGTGTGTGTATGGAATTGTAGGTTCTATATCTGTTATAAACAGTCGGTTTGAGATTTATCTTTAACATAAGTGTATGCCATCCATGATCAATGGCTGCTACCTTATAACATTCAAACTTATAGTATTCTGAAATTGTCCGATAACACAAAATGGAAGATGCGTGTGACATTTGATTCACTTTCACCTACTAGCATGCTGAATATCATGAAACTGCGTGAGATTTGTTTCTATCATCATCCTTTTTATTTGTTGCTGTGTACTCTTCTCCCTTAGCCACACCTTATCATTTCTCTCTTATTTTCGACCGTGAAACTTCTTTTCATGTTTTGCATGTGTCAACTGGTAATTGGTTATTCTTTGTTTTACAAATGAGCTCAATAGATATCTTACGCTTGCTGCACATAACTCATTTTCTTGGGTGATGTGGGGAAGAATCATTTGTGGATGAAGGGCATGACAACATATTTGGGGTATCTGCTAACATGTAGGGTCATGAATCCACCTTGGTATAAGTCGCTGTCCTAAAATGGATAGACATATGTTCCTCTCTGGCAAGAAAATCCGCTGCAAGCACAACTTATCCACACTGACCTCATTTTGGGTAATAGGTTCAAGGACTAGGGAGTGGCTGCTGTTCACAAATATTCTCACTTGTATCCTTTTCTCCACTATATATAGGACCCTTGATTTGAGTAAATCATCAACATCCCTTCTTTCCATCCTGCATTCACCAGCTTAGTTCCCTCCTTAATCAAACCTGTAGAAATATGGAGTACTCCCACTTGCAACGCCAGGCTGCCTACATGAAAAAGAGCCTCTTTGATCAGGTTTATCTTCTTTAGTTCCCTTTGTAGTTGTCTAGTTTATGGATCATTAAACCATGAGCAGCCGAGGTTTCACATTAGTATTCTCTTCTTTTGGACGCTGTCAGTTTTCCTAACATGCATTACGTGCACATGTCAATATTATGCATTATGTCTTAAAAACTTCTACAAGCTTGGGATACCTTGTGGGATACTTACATAATTGGTAAGATTTGCATCCTCACTGGTACAAATGTCCAGAATCAGACCGTGAAATTTCTCCATTTTGCTTCATTTAACGAATCAAACACCTCCCACTTCTCAGAGAAACAAACATTAAGTAGGTGCAGCTAATGTAGAAAGAATAACTGAAATTCATTTTTATTGCAGGGTTACCTAAATGAGCAATTCTATCAGCTGGAAGAGTTGCAGGATGAAGATAGTCCAAATTTTGTGGAAGATATGGTAACATCGTGCTTTAGGGATTCCACTAGATTACTTAGTAATATCGAGCAAGTTCTGTAAGTAACTGCAATGCTGAAAAGAGATGTTCTTATAAAACATAGACCATAGTCTCAGAAAATTTCTCATGCAGGGAGAAATGCCCCCCAGATTTCGGCAAGCTGGACACCTATATGCATAAGTTCAAGGGCAATACTTCCAGGTAAGACTTGAAGCTTTCTCTTCTACGTATGTCGCTAGGGCGGAGTCTAATTCATGGTAGCTACAATTAACAAAAAGTACGTCTAATTTGTTAGTGGGATTACTTGCAAATTATTTATTTTTCTTTTCTATCCTTCAGTCAATAAATATTTTTTAATGAGGCGCATATTCTTCTATTGCTATTTTTATTCATTAAAATATGCCTAATATGGCCGGAATCCACATTAACATCCATCACTATGCTTGAAACATCAGGGGAAAAAAAAACGGTTGCTCTCTTATAGAGACAGACGGATTATTTTAGGCGGGGAATATGCCTGATATTGCTTTGGACCCCACATTAATGTGTATCACTGTGCTTGAAACATCATAAAAAAGAATGATTGCTATCTTGTAGAGACGGACGAATTATTCTAGGCTGACTGGGAACCGATTTCCGTGACATTAACTGTTTTGTTCGCCTTAAAAGTCATACATCCAGATTTTATTTTTGAACATCAATGCATTTACGGTTCACTGTCAAATTGAATCAACCACTTGGTTGGTTTTTGATATTATTCTGTGGCTATTGAATGTAAAAGAACTTATCCCTGTTAGTATTTTTAAGGACCATGTTTCTTTCTTGTATTTCCTCTATTGACAACCATCTATTGAACAAGATTACGTTCTAGGGTTTCGGTTTGACCCCATTTGCTTTAATTACACTGGGTGTGTTCTAATATCATGGTTGGTTTGGTTGCAGTATTGGAGCCTCCAGGGTGATGAATGAATGCACACAGTTCAGAGAATGTTGTGACGAAGAAAATATTGAAGGGTATTGTAGCTCTGTATCCCACAATTTATCTTCTTCACATTTTCTACAGCATGCTTGTTAGTTTTATTAGGTAGTTGGACGTTATATCTGAAAGAACAAGTAATGATGCTCCATATATTCCTCTTACAAAATGTTTGTTCATGTGTCTACAGATGTCTGAAATCATTCCAAAAGATGAAGAGAGAACATGCTGTTTTGAGACAGAAGCTGGAGTCTTACTTTCAGGTCCACCAAATAATCTTCATACTTTGAATCTCTATAATAACAAAGCAAGTTTTATGATACTCTGCTTCCTTTCTACTCACAACAACATCTATGTTTCAGTTGTTGAGACAAGATGGCCCTGTCGAGCGAGCTGCGAGAGCTAGCAATTGAAATCGCTGAACCAAATCAACGCACAATCCTGCTAAGCCTATTGAGCATATATAGCTAATGAGTATATAAGTAACTTTCGCAATGAGAATAAGTGATGTATGTTTTTAAGTTATAAGTCTGCAATAGACGATGTTTCTGTGCCTATATTAGCAGCTTAAACGGGTCAAATGTATTCCCCATCATAATTTTCAGTTCAATGCAGTCTCTCTGTTCTTGCCCAGTTTGCCCTGTGATGTTACTTACGCATACCTATTCCACTCCTAGACTTCAATGAAAGTGGGGGAGTAATTTCAAATGCTGAACATTTAACGGACTAATATCGAAGTAATCCTACAGATATTTCGACACATGAAAATTAATGAAAAGACTAAGATTCCCGGCAACCACAGATACTAACTACTCTATCCAAGATTATCAAGAAGGCTTTCCCCCCTTCTTTTTGATACAACGACAGGTTCGGCATATATCATAAGCGTTACATCGAGCTCCATTTACATCACAAATTGAAGACCCCACACATGGGAACAAAACTATTCCTAAAACTTTCCGACACCAGAAAAGAAAAGAGCACAACCCATGAAGCAACCTAAAACTTCCACCTTTAATATGAAGGGGCAAAAAAAAAAAAAAAAAATCATGATTCAGGAGCTACGTACCATATAATATGTAGACCATAACGTGACAGAGAAAAGCGAGGCACGCTGCTATCATTATTTGCTCAGCAAGGGATACGATCCTCGGTCCTCCGATATTTCTACTGCTGCCGCGAGAGGAGGGCGGATGAGAGTAAAAGAATTCGATGGAGACTGATGAATCTCTACCTTCATCCTGATAAACCGGCTTCCCAATCGCGTGCTTGCAGAGCCCACCACTCGATATCTGGACAGGCAGTGGGGGTACACGGAGAACATCTTAGGTAGTCAGGATGTTGGATATATATGCGATCCTTTGTCTTGTGCTTTAAGCAATAGAATAAGGAGGACCCATAACAGCTTTAAAAAAACGGCGACGTAGGGGATATATGGGATAGGTTCCGTCTTGTTCATTCAAACTGGTACAGCTGAACTTAAATGTTCATGCTAATTTAAGTCAAGATCTCCATTACGGGACCCAAAAATATGGGACATGTGAGGTGTCGGCTCCCTGACCTGTCTCATGGAGGATCCTATTCCACCTAAAACTTTAAGTCTCGTGGTACTTTTAATGACACTATTTTTTTAAAAGGAATAATGATACTTTAAAAAAAAATTGAAACAGGGTAAGGTAAACGCGGTAATTGGTGGGTGACCTAGCTGAAGTCGCTTTTTAATGAAAACTTACTATAGTTCTTGAACTATACAAAGTCTTCTGATAACTTTTAAATTGAATTTTTTTTTTTTTGACAAATTACCTGGATCTGCTCGCCAAAAGTAACAATAATAGCTTCGTCTTTGACGGGGAAATAAACGCAACCTTTCTTACTCTTGGAGTACACGCAGAACCTGGAAGCGCCTTGACAAACACGAAGGCACAAAGAGTGGGAGCAAACCGAGTCTCTCAGCAGCATCTGCAGTACCTCGTGCTTCAGCAAACCCTCTCTAGTCCCCACGTCACGAGCCCTTTTCTGAGTATTTTTGCGGAGAGAAATGGCCGAGGCGCCGGCGATTGATAGTGCTGCTGGCTCTGAGACCTCTGCGTTGTTTTGTAACAAAACCGCGGTGATTTTGTTGGCTATTTTCTCCATTTCTCCACAGAGGCGGTGCATTTTGTCCCTAAAAATTGATTTCGTGAGGCGATTAAAGGTGTGCGTTATGTGTATGCTAGGTAAAATTTACATTCCGCGATTTGCACACAAAATTGGTTGCCAACTTGTTTTTAAGAAAAGGAAGTATTGTTAAAAATAAAATTAGCCGTACGAAAACATAAGGCTAGATAAACGCATAACCAAGCTCGGAGGAAAAACATTTGAAAATGTTACAACTAACGAACTAAAATTCATATTTAGAGTGATTATTTTGAAAAAAGAAAAAGTAAAAAGAAAAGAAAACCTCAATAGCAATTTCCTAGAATAAATATGCTAAAATCCATATCTAAAGGAGCACTGTTACCCAAAAAAAAAAAGACTGAAAAAAAAGAAGATTAAAAAAAAAATTCCCGAATGCAAATACCAAAATTACCTGAACTCCACATACCCATGACTCCAAATTCCCGCCAAATCCTCATTTCCCCCCTCACTCCACCACAGAACCTCCTCCTCCTCCTCCGCCGCCTCCTCAAACCCCCAAACTCCTTCCTCAGTTCTGATCACCTCCCTCTTCTTTTCCAGCGGTAGCCTGAACCCTTTTCCCGCCAAAACCCCAACCTCCTCAATCAAACTCCTCTCAATCCCATGATTCACGATCTGAAAGCACCCAGCCGATCTCGCCGCCGAGATCAAGGCCCCGTCATCTAGAAACCCTAGATCGACCTCCGGTGGGGCCCACGGGGCCGCGGTCTCTCGATGGAGGACCTTATCGGGCAAGATCAGCTGGGGGACCCGGAGAGATCGGTTCAGGAACGAGGAGAACTCGTCGCTGCCGCCGCCGCCGTC